TTTTTATTTTTTCGCACATAAATTTTTCAATTTTATTCCAGTTTAAAAGTAAGTGTGGCTTTAAGCTAGGACAACGCTTCGTATGTGAATGTTTTGCTAAAAAAAATTTGGCTACTCTGACGGAAAGCTTTCAGTTTTTTCAAAATTGTAGAAAATTAAGAATTTATGATTAACCTGATAAAATAAATATTAGTACCAGAAGGGATAGGCTTTTAATTTTTACTTTAAGCATTTATTTTGAAAACTTTTCTCATCCTCCTTACAACTGGAAGTTTTAATTGCTTTTTGCAACTTAATGGCAACTCTGTTATCTTTTTCCCCATTTTTGAGATTTGGAAAAGAAAATATATATTTTCACATAAATACAACTTTTAAATTGTATGTAATTAAAATTACGTAGCAACCCTACAGACGTATAAAGAAAAGGTATTGCATTTCATAAAGAAAAGGTATTGCATTTAAAAATTAATTTAAAATATCTACTGAAAATATGTATATACGTTTAATTAACAAAACTTAAATTGTATTTAGAAACTATTCTATTTCTATTAAAAAATAGTATATGTCAACTCTGTTGAAAAGCTATAAGGTTCCGAAAAATTTATCAAGTGGCATAGAAGGAAAATAATAGGAAAAATAGTTGAAAATTTTGACTTAAATAAAATAAAATTTAGCACCCTGCACAGAAAAATTTTAATCTGTGCTGCGATAATCTGGTGAATTGCATTCAAAATGTTTGACATATTTTTAGTGGCAATTTTTGTTTTAAGCATAAATGGCAACCCTGTACAGTACTTTTAACATCTTCAAGCTAATAGGTATATGTAGTTTGTTTTTAAGTTTTTAAAAAGAAAAGTGTTTCCAAAAGAAAATGTTTGTTAAATTCAATACACATGGCAATCCTGCACAAAAGTTTCAAACAAGTACACGTTTTTGTACTGTTTAAATTTATTTTTTAATGAAAATGTACAACATATTTTAAAATGAAAACGTACGCTGAATTTAATGCAAATGGCAACCCTGGACATACATGTGTAAATTTTTGTAAATCTTAAAAAAAAATTCAATTGCTTTTTTCTATAAATTCTAAATTTTAAAAACAAACCCATAGAAAAAATTATTTTTGAATAAATGCATTTAAAAAGCTACATACATATGTATATATATTATTATTGTATATTAAAAAATAAGATTTATGATGAATTTGATAATATTTATGTTAATTGGAATACTATTTTGTAATTTGACACTTGCCAACCCTATATATAAATTTTTAAAAAAGCTTAAGCAAAATAGTGTCTATGATAGTTTTTTTTTTTAATTTCTAAAGTTTTAAAAAGAATTTTATGTTTAAAATTATGTGGCAACCCTTCTAAAAACGATTATTAAATAAACACATTATTTGAATAACTATATTGCAGCACTTTTATTTTAATCCGTCGGAAAATATATATGCACATACATACATATATTATCATAGTTTCACCGATAACGGTTGAAAAGGCTAAATATATTTCAACTAAAGGATATACTTAATAAATTCCTAAAAATACGCAAGAAATTGCTACTAAAACGAAAAACCCCGAACACAACTCACTCGATCGCAATTTTCACAACCGCCAAATGCACCAGGCGCGCAGGACGCGCAAGTAGGTGGCGCGCGCAACATGTTGCTCAGCGCTAGGTGCAACATGTTGCGTGGGTGGGTGGGTGGCGGGCCGTATACTTGTTGTGCGTTCATAATTTTAGTTTTTTGCCCATATCTTCTTTGTTTTTGAAGATATTTTGATGAAATTTTCAGCATATTTAAGAGAATGATTTTGGCTATTGAATAGTAGCATTTTAACTGCTCATTTCTCAGAGAAACTTCGATTTTTGTTGAGCTTTTATAAAGGAAACTTGGCCATCCAGCACTTTTAGCAGCCATAAATCGAACAAATTTGCAGCTACCAACAAGAAAAATTACTGTAATCATTGCGGCACAAACCCTTATGGTTTTTTGTTATACCATTAAAAAGTAGAGCGGATATTTCGAATTACACGTTCCTTTATTTCTCTGTGATATTGATTTATTTCTTAAACTAATACAATACATTAAAAAATAGTACGAGCTGAACGAACTCAGCTGAAATATACATACACATATGACGTTTTACTTAGATATTTTGCTTTTTTAAATTTGCTCACAAATATTTTTTTTTCAACTTATTTACAAAAGAACTACATGTACGCGGTATATGGCCTGCGACGCAAATACACTGGCGGCAGAAATAGTAGACTCTTCGTACTTTTAAGAGTTTTGGCTATATTTCTTTAATTTATTTTATGTTTAATATGTTTTTATAAAAGACTAGGTAGTTATACAACAAAAATCATATAAATCCCGTTTTCAAGCTCTATACAAAAATTATAAAAATTCGAGGGGATTTTATAAAAAAAATATTAAACATAACGTAAACCATGGGAATATAGCCAAAACTCTTCAAAGTAAGGCGAGTCTATTATTTCTGCCGCCATTGTATGTATGTTTACATATATGTTGTACGTAGATATACCACATATGTATAAATGTGTGCGCACATACTATGTACATATGTATATAAGAAGCCAAATTCCAGCGATAATTGTTTATACTTAACTGTTACAAATAGATACATATCTACATACATACGTACGCATGTATGAATTTGTTGTATAAGAAAGAACAGCGTTACTATTAAAACATTGGTTTTTACATATACACTGTTGCGTTAATAAATTTTTTTTTTTTTGTAATAATTTTGTATGCTTGCTCTTAGCATATGTTAATAAAAGTAATAAAAATAACAAAAACAAAAACAAAGTGCAAAACAATTTTATCAAACACATACATACATACAGATGCGATCAACTACATAATTAGCACCGAATTTCAAAAGATATTGCTTGCAACTTATGCTTATTTATTTACTTTTAATAATTTTCATCAAAATTTCAAAATTTTTAATTAGAATATTTAGAAAATTTTCGGGTATGCAGTTGTGTAGTCCCTTCAATTTTAGTTTAATAAAGTGCAAGTTTCAAGTCGATAAACATTACCGTTGATTTTTTAGAAGTTTATTTGGGGAGGGTATTGCGCGTTTTCTTCCATATAACGCATATCAAAATCTTCTACAACACCCACAAAATTTTCAAAAATCAACTCCAGGACCTAGCTACTTCAAATTCGCATTTTATTAGACTAAAATGGAATGGGTTAAAAAACTGCATAACTGAAAATTTTTTGAAGTATTATTTTTTTTCAAATTTGTATAAGCTTTGAAACTTTTATTAATGTGGTTTCTGTTATAGATTCAAATTTGTATAAGCTTTGAAACTTTTATTAATGTGGTTTCTGTTATAGATAGAATTATATTTCAAATGAAAATTATTAAAAATAAATAAATAAGCATAAATTGCAAACAATGTATGTATTTTGAATTTCGGTGCTAATTAGGTGATCGCATCTGTATATAGATATCAAACATTTTTTGTAAAAAGACTGACGCTACATAGATTCACCTAATTGCTTTAAAACTTAAAAAACTAAATTTAAAAAAAAAAAAACTTTTAAATAGAATTTAGTTTTATAGGTAAAAAATATATAAAGAAATGTTTTTGTGTAAAAATAATTACATATATTAAAATTTATGTATGTATATACATATATATGTATATACCTTATAAAAAAATTAAGAATCAGTTGAGAATTGCGGAAATTAAGGCAGTGGGGTGACAATGCTTTAACAATAAAATATGGCAAAAGACGACGAGATGAGAGGAGACGATCATTGCACATTGAATCTACTTTTTGTTTTTTTTTTTTTAGTTTCGAACAAATATTGAAACTCATAATTTCTTTTAATTTTAAGAAAATTTAGAACTCAATTTATTTTTAATGAAAGAAATTCGCTTTTAAATTGAAAGCAAACATCTTTCATTCAAGCTGTGCCGTATCACTTAAGTGCTTTTGTAAACATGGAACTGATTTTAATTTAGATTTTTTTAATTTACAATATCAAATTTGTTAATTAGTATTCTTATAGTTTAAAAAATGCGTTTAAATATAGAAAAAAAGTTGTTGTCAAGCAGAGCCATTTTTTGAGGCTTGCTTTTTTTAGTTTTTTTTATTAATATTGTTTACGGTGCACTAACAGACTTTTGCGGTAATTTGGTAAATAAATTTTAAATATTTTTAGCATACTTTGCATACATATGTATGTATTCATTAGTTTTTTATTTCATTATTAATTTTTTTACTTTTCTATATATTTTTGTTATTGACCGACATCAAAAAAGGAGGTCATCGGAATAATTTCTTACATATGTTTTCGATAATTCTTTTTTTATCGGAAAGCTGACACCTCATGAGGCGTCCCATACTAATTTGGTTTGGTTCCGATCACTGGTTCATGAAGAAAGTAACGGTACTTCTAAATTTGTATACGATCATTGAAGTCGGGTTTTTTTTTTGTTGAAAAACTACTTGTTTAGTAAATTAACTTAAAAGTAAGTTTTTTTTATTATTTGGTGTAGTTTTTAATGCATTTACAAGCTTGTAATTCATTTTTCACTAGTTATATTGTTTAATTTTTTTTTATTTTTTTAACAGTTACATATGTAAGTATTTTTGTTTTATTATTTATATCCTTATTTTAATTTAATTTATTTTTACTTATTTTACTTGATGTTAAATTATTATTTATGCTTTTTTATGTCATCGCATAATTTATCCCCGACCAAATTTCGACTTTAACACTTTAGTCAATAGGCTTGTAAAAAGCGTAAAACATAAAAATTATACAACAAAAAATATTTTAGCAGTCGAAAATGTAAGTAAGGCAATTAAATTTAAACCGATAACTTTTTATTTTTTTTTGCATTCCGTTATAAAAAAACGACTATCTACGCCACTTTATTTATTTATAATTTATTTTTATTTTTTCTGTTTTTTTTTTTGTTTTTTAATTTATTTGCACCCTCAATTTTGACAGCTCTCTTATCTTCAAAAAAATTTTTGTTTCGTTAGTACCAAATGTTGTGATAAAATTGATTGATTTCCCGGAAATCTACATCGAAAATCAGTTTCTGATTCGCACAGCTCTTGTTGCCTGGCACTTGTTCGCCCAAAACCATTTTTTTGTTCACAACTCAAAATCGTTGGACGATTAAGTTTTAAATATGCACTATTTACAATAATAGCTGAATAACTGTTGTTTTTTCCAAATTTTTAAGCACTTTTTAACGTCGTTTTCACTTCCGTTGCCATTTATTGCTGCAATATTCATCCCTCTTGCTTCTAGTCTTATTAGCTGTATTTTAAACACCAACAATTCTCAACGCAAGTTTCTTAAATACAAAAACAAACCCAAGTATGGTACTCAGGAGCTACAATGCTTATAACACTGGTGTGCAGACATACATATGTGCATACTACATACGTTTCCTTTCACCAAAGCACATATGGAAGTATGTACATATGTTTGTCGTGGTCAGCGAACAACATCATAGCAATATTAAATGGAAATAATTTGTTGGTTAGGTAGAGAATTTGAACTTTTTTTGTTAATGTTTTGTTATTGGGTAACAAATCAGAATGCACGCAATAGCTGCACGCCCACCAGCCTTTGCCCTCACACTTACTCGAAATATTCGCTAGCCACTTGCCCAGCAGGCCATCACTGTTCGCTGGCACACTCCGTTTCGTCGCTCCCATCTAAGCCGGCGCTGCTGAATTTAGCTATCCGCACCAATAAACCTCTGCAACTTCAAAGCTATTGCCCAAGCCACCTGCTACTACAGGCAAGCTACAAGAAACTACAGCCTTTTCTCCAGCTGATTCAACATTGCTGTCGGTTCCTTGTGGTTGGCCGTCAATTGCAGCTGTGCTGTGTCAGCCTGCTGTAGTTGTAGCTGCTGCTGGTGTTGCTGCGGCGGCAGTTGTAGTTGCTGCAGCGGCAGCTGTTGATATTGTGGTGCTCGTGTTGTCGTTTCGACGCTAGTCAATGCATATTGGTGCTGCTGCTTATGCTGCAAATGCACGTCGTATTCGTTCCTGATGTTGATTAGCTGCTCAGCCTGCCGCTGGTGCTCCACAAAGATGGCATCTAGTTTGTGATTGAAGGCTTGTGGCACCGGTTTTGGCAGCAGGCGTGCATGCTGTTGGCACAAAGTACGCGCATTCTTCTGTATGCTCTGCAGCGACTGATCGATGTTCTCCAGCGAGTTGCTGATGACCGCGTGTATTTCTGCGGGCTTCGCAATGACTGTGGTTGGCAACATTTCGGGTGAGTTTGCTGCCATGACGCTTGGACAACGCTTTGCTGGGCTGACACTATCTTCGAAAACGATGCTGCTGTTAATGGTTGTGCTAGTCGAGGCAGCACCAGCGGCTGCGGCGATAGATGCCGCTGGACGCAAACGCTTCAAAACAGATGTGTGTGATTGCTGTTGTGGCACAACCTTACCACCGTTGAAATTAGAGTCAGCCGATGTCGTATGCTCATTCGATGTTTTTGCTTGCGACGCCACAGTCAGACGCTGCTCGAGCACACTAACCGCCAATTGTGGCGACGAAAGAGGGGCACTCGTACTTGCTTGTGTATTTAGCTGCAGCACACTCGGCCGTTGCGTGCTGTTCGCCGCCGTGGTCGCCGTATTGGAGTGGATGGAATTGGGAGGCACGGCGCCCATGCTGTCGCCAAAGTCGTCGCCTAAGTCAATGCTACTGGCCGGTGATAGCGACAAATCGCTGCTGGTGACGCTACGCGGACTTTTCATGTGACTGAGATTGTGTTGCAAATTTCTAGCCGCTGTCACATTCACAACCGACACTGACTGTGAAATTGAGTTCTTAACCGAGGCGGGTTCGGGCGGCACGAGAGACATCGGCGGCGTTCGAGCATACCGCACATTGTCAGCCTGCGTGTTGGTGTCTTCACCACAACCCGTTCCATTGCCGTTGTCGTGTCGCGGCTGTAAATTATCGATTAAATAAAGTACGATGCGCTCCAGTTGTTGGGGATTCTCGGCAGCGGGTGCATCCAGCAGTGAATTGCTTGGTATCTTTGTTTTAATTATTGTTGAGAATTTATTTTTCATCTCCTGCAGGCGGCGACGGCCCTCCTCCTCGTCCAGAAGCGTGTTGACGCAAACGAAAGAGGTGACATTGCGAGATTTATCCGCAACATCGATGTAGCCCCTCGAGTGCAAGTAAATAAAGTGGCCGTTGCGTGTGAGTAGTCTATAATAGCTTTCGCCTTTATCCTCGTTATTATCGTACATCTGTCGTAGCGCCACAATAACCCAACGTACATCATCCTGATGCATGAAGGAGAAGGGACTGAGATTATAAACCTAGAAAGGAGAAAAGAAAATAGATTTAGTTAGTGCACATAAAAAATTAAAAAGCGAAACGATTTGAGTTTTTGGAAGAAACTAAGATATGTGCGTATACAAGTTATGTACTCCTTTGTTAGGCAACTTTGTGCTGAACGAATTTTTTGTGGTAAAAACACTTCCATACCACCTACATATAGACATCTACGTTAAAAGCGCTGTAACTAAAAACGCGCTGAAACTTAAGGTGTCTGAGAAGCTGCAAACAACTGGCAGGAACCATGCTTTCCCGACAAAAGAGACTGGTAACTTAATATCGTTCTAGGCTATAGTGAGGTCCCGATCCTCAGGGATTTCAAACCGCGAGAAAGGGATCTGAGTTAAGATGCTAAGGGAAGTTTAGACAGTTTGGGAAAAAGCACATGTGGCCTGCTAGGATTTGCCATTAAATTAGTATAGTTTAAATTAGTATAGTTTAAAACAAGGAGGACAGTCTTGCGAAATTCTCTCTTTGGCATCACAATGAACACCTGCGGCCTCCGAGGGAGCTATTTAACTTGAGCTGCCCGTCTAACCTAACGCGTACAACAACCAAAACTGAACTTTAAACTACGTTAACTATAAGATTGCACATTTTTAAATTTAACAAACTTATTGATTCAAATTATTGTTGACAAAAATGCAACCGTATGCCACAATCTTGCTTGCAAATTCTTGCTGGGAAAATTTTCGCCAGCATGAATTTGCAACTTCCCCTCCAAATGAAATGTCAAAAGTGTGCTCTCTCCTTGACAGTTTTGCAAGTTTTTTGTCCAAACGAACGCGATTTGTTGACAATTGGTACTAACTTGTACACGTTTTTTTGCACAGCGAACAGAACTACGGGTAATTAAGCGAGAAATCTGGCATCCATGGCAGACGAGCCTCTTTTATTATTAGATTACAATCCCTTTGTTTATTTATTTTTGCGTTTAATGCCAAAATTTGCCCAATATTACCAGCAGTTCTTAAATTTTGCTTATCACTGATAGTTCATCTGTAGAAAAACGGTATATTTGTACATTTGTAAATTTTATAATAGGTTATTAATGCATCTCTGCTGGAAAATGGTACTTCTAGTTAAAATAAAATTATACGAAGGCCATAATAAGCAAGAAAAATAAATAAATACTAGAGTGAAAGTTACTGTCGAAATTCGACAGTTTTTCTAGTTTTAGAAGCCTTGGAGAGGTTTTCTAACTTAACACGTAGCCATACTTATACGGTACAAATTAACTAACCGGAAAATCTTCTGCTAAAACGTAACAATTTATTTTCTTTATCTGAGAACGTCTTTGGAGGACTTCGGCAGGACTTGGCATTGACCCGATACATTCAAGTTTATCGATAAATTTCGATGATTTGATACATATCGATAGTTCGATGAATTTCAAGAACACTAAAATTCGATAACTCAACAAAATTCGTTAACTCGACCAATTTCGATAACTGTGAAATTCGATGGCTCGATAAATTTCGATAACTCAAAAATGTACAAACTTTGGACACCTTTATAAATATTTACTTTTGACATCTCCACATTTTTGGAAAACTATGTTAACATTTTGAAAACTCGCTACACTCTGTTAAGACGATTAAATTGGATAAGAAGTGATAAATCGATAAGCTTATATAACCTTGAAATTTCGATAAATGGATATATTTTGAAAATTCCATAAACTTTGCTTTGTTGAACCAACCAACTTCAGTAGATCAATAATTATCGATAAATCTGAAGTTGAAAGAAGTCCATGCATTACGACACCTCGATTTATTTAGTTAAGTCTATAAATAATGATAATTCAATAAATATCGATAACTTCATACATTTCCTTAACTTGACAAATTTCGTTAATCCCACACGTTTTTATAGCTCGATAACTATCCGTAAATTTGGACAGTTGGACAGTGGTAAGTTTCTGTGTCTATAAATTTCGACAACTCAGTAAACATTGATCAGTTTGAACGATTCGATACGTTGCGATAACTTACACCCCTATTGCGAATGTCGACTGGCAGTAGATAAACGACTATTAAGCGATTATCGATTAGCGATGCTATTGCGAGTGTCGCTTAGTCGCTCAATTAGCGACTGTGAATACTTTTTAATCGCTCATTCTTCTATTGCTGTTTTTTAGTCGTTGGAGTTTGCGTTTATAAAATTTACATAAGAAAGTGGTACTATAATGGATAAAAAGTAAGTCAATTGAACTGGAAGTTGTAAAAAATTGTGAAATATACATATGCATGTATGTGTCTGAATTACAGATCAAAAATTATAAGCAACAAAAGGCAACTTGCGCGGTTGTTCGTACTGATGCAGGAGAGTGAAGACATAGGCAAAGGAATTTCCGGAAAGAGTAGGGTAGGAAGCTCCGCTTCTATTGGAAAAGATACATATACAATATTTCTTGTGCATATAACTCCGGCTACGCCATCCACAGTGTTTTTGCGCAGAACCAACATCAAAACTTTATACAAAAAAACTGCATAATTTATTAATTGACTAGTGCCCGGAAATTTGAAATCTTTATTTTAAATTAAAGTTGAATTCTTTCAATACACTTGTTATGTTGTTATGTTAAAATTTTTAAACTCGGGTCACGCGTTTGGACACAAAAACCCAACATCATTGTACAAAAAACTTAACCGTACCGTATTTCTTAAACTTCCATAAAGTTTATTAATGAGGAAAACAGCTTTTCCTGCAAATCATGTAAAGCCTAAAAACTGTGAAGCATCGGGAACGCAACTTCTATTCATAAAACTCACACGTGTACATACACCTTCAAAGTCCAAGGGATCCGACGAATCTCGCAATTCCCTCCTTGCTTTAGCTAACTCTACTAATCTATTAGCTTCCGCATCATCTTCCTCATCACTAAACCATATTTCAACTGTGTCCATATTTTAAATTTTATAATAAAAGCAATTATTTTAAAAATGATGTAAATAAAACACTCAAGAAACAAATGTAAACAAACAAACAGCTGTTTACAATTCTGTCAACCATTCACAATAGTACAAATTTTTAGCGATCAAGTTACACAATAGCAAAATAAAAGATGATCGACTCGATCGACAAATTTCTATTCTACTGCCAGTCGACACTCGCAATAGGGGCCTTAATAAGCATGGATAAATTTCGATAATTATAAACTTCGATGATTCGATAAATTTCAGTAACCTTTATGGCTGATTTTATTTCGATTCCTATCTTTTAACCTAATTCTTATGTATTTCTCATTGTTTCCATTTTCGCCTTTATCTCAATTTTCGTCTTTATCTTCACTTTTGCCTTTTTTTGTCTTCATAGTTCTCACTTGTTTCTTCATCTTCATATTTATCTTTATTTCAAAGTTTAATTTCAAATACGAAGTAAAACAAAATGCGAAACAGCTTAAATTGAACAGGTTGCAAAAACAACCATACACAAATATGGAAATTTTTAAACGACGATTTTCAACCAATTTCGAAACTATAAAAACTCTCCTCATCTACAGAAAATGACCTTTCCAACGGCGTTTTTGGTTTTGAAATCGATAACTTTACCTTGGTCTTTGTCACATTCCATGTTCCGATTACTGTATCGATAACCCTGTTGATAACTGTGTCGATAAAAATACCGATAACAATATCCAAAAACATATAGAAAAATACATCGATTGTAAAATCGATTAATTTCTCGATAAATATAACAATCATCAGTATCGATTATTGTACATATCGTTAACAATATAAATGACTAAATCGATAACAAAATCAATTATTTCATCGATTATTATACCGATAACAATATCCATTATTATATCGATAACAATATCGATTATTATATTGATTATTATATCGATTACAATAGCGGTTATTTAATCAATAACAGTATCGATAACAATATCGATTATTTTATCGATAGCAATATCGATCTTCATCCTCATCCTTTTCTTCATATTTATCTTTATTTTTGCATATTCCTCTTCACCTTTACCTTAAAGTGTTTAAATTTACTTTGATCTTCGTTTTTGCCTGTACCTCTAGGCATCTTTGTTTTGGTTTTTATTCTCAAATCGCTGAGAACTATTTCCATGTGCATTATTCCCCTTGAATTTGACAATTTACTCCCAACCAACCAACTGCCGCTAAAGAAGTTTCACTTCATAAATTCAAGAAATGTTCTTACCCTTTTAGTTACCCTAATTCTTATGTATCTGTCATTGTCTCCACTTTCGTTTTTATCTTCACTTTTGCCTTCTTTTTTTGACTTCATCGTTATCATTTATTTCTTCATCATCATATTTATCATTATTTCAAAGCTTAATTTCAAATGTGTAGTGAAACAACAGGCGAAACATGTCAAATTGAACATGTTGCAGCAACATCTATACACAATTCGAAAATGTTTAAACGACGGTTTTGGCCGTAATTTTCAACCAATTGTGAACCCATAAAAACTCTGCTCATCTACGGAAAAATGCCTTTCCAACGGTGTTCTTGGTTTTGAACTCGGTTCTGTAGAATCGCCAAACGAACGGAGACAAAATTTATGTTAGCGTATTAATATATAGATATAAGTAAATAAAAAAATAAAATAAGATAAAAATGAACTTTGCATGTAATAAAAATTTCTAACAAAGCACTTTCTATGCTAATTTGATTTAAAGCTTTTAACATTGATATGAAAAATTAAAGGAAAAAATAAAAATAAATTGCAACACAGCTTTTATGACCCGAAGCTAAGCAAGCGCTAATAAAAAGTGTACAATTCAATTAGATAAACACTACTAAGTACATACTATCTATATGTAGTTGTATGTATGTAGATATGTGTCTGTATAAGTTTGTATGATGTACATATGTATGTATATACTCAGTTTACTTATTTAAAACAAAATAAAATAATAAACTAATTACGAAATAAATAGTTTCTGGAGTTGGGTTTATTAAAAATATCAACAAAAGAACTGAAACATATCGTCGCTTAA